TGGCATTGTGTATATTGTAGCAAAACAGAAATATTGTTTCAGATACATTAGCAACTAAAAGAAGTTAAAAGGACAGTGAGTATCACTCCATCATGATCATTCCAGATCATTTACTCCATCAAAACATAAATCCGAAAACTGTGACCGAAATACGTGTGTCTTCACAAATTAGAATTATTTCACAAGGACAGAGCCTAACTGTCCATAAACATTTGCATCTCATTCTGTTAGTCTGCACCATCGTGAATTTCCAAATATACATATTAATTTAACATAAAAATAATTATGAGCAAAGCACAGCTGATCCCTATTGAACAACATTGCAAAACAGAATCAACACCACTCATCAAGTTAGATTTATCAACGTAAAATACTACAGAATCTGCGTCGACGGAAATATTGATAATTAGCTGTATATCTATTGTAGCATTGTACCTTGTTTCAGATACGATGGCAACAGAAAGTGCAAAGAACACTTGTGAAAGTTTTCATGATTTTACATGCCAAAACATCTTGCTTAGTTTCAGTAGTAATGGGAGCAGTATGTTTCACGAATCAAACAATCAAGAGAACCTTAAGGACCAGGTTAGCGTTTTGTCATTTCCCATTTATTTATTGCATTTTCTGATATTATGATGTACAGGTATTGTAAATGTCTCCGAGCTTTGGCGACTGATGTTAAAAAATAAATGAAGAAACGCCATTGATTTAAAGAATAATAACACTTTCAGTACAATGTAAATGACAATCCGTAAACTAGCTTGTTAACAACATGGCGGATGGTACCGATTCATAAACCACACTGAAAAAACAAGCTTTAATTGCATACTGATGACAGGGTTCGAGTTTTAATCAATATCGTGTTTTGTATATGGGTTGCTGGTCATTGATCGTTCTCTTTTTCCAGTTGTGTAATGGTTGATTACAGGATAGTGTCATGGTCGTGATTTCCACTACCTGAATGCATACGTCCAAATAGACTCCAAGGCGGTATAATTACATGCATCTTGGCACAATCTTTACTTCTGCACTGAAGAGCTAGTTAAGAGAACGGTAGTGGTCCTATATACCGTGTATCACGGAATATTTAATTTCCGTATACTTTTTACCCTGATAAAGAATTCCATACTTTAGTATATAATAATTTCTTACAAGTTATTTGAGAAAAAATAGCCAACTCATCAGCAAACGGTCATTTGGAGATATTGCATCTCGTCCAACTGAAATGCTTTCTTTAAACTGGCCGATTCACTTGAGGCCAATCATCCTGAAACTTGGCAAGCCGGTGCCGTGCTCAACCAATCAAAGTGGTCGACTTGGTCAACCACAAAATATTAGTCCATCGATAAAAACACGGCAGTGTAACACATTTACAATGTTTAGAAAAAAATCCTATATATGTCACTGATTTATAAACGAAAACTGCAGAGTCAAAACTTATAGCAGTCTATTAGTTTCTGATAGTTGTAAAAGTGACTGATTTTAAAGCAGCATATGTAGCAGTAGTAGTGTACCGGGTGACAATTTATTTTTCATTGTGTTAATTTTGCATTGATTGTGGAGGATTAGTTAGGGCAGTAAAATGATAATCAATGACACCTTTGAAAACAATGTAATACAACACTATAACAATATGTACAATCTGTTAATCAATATGTCACTTCCTGATAATACCTAAATAATGAAACAATTTCGGAATGCTCACAATCTGTTCTCTCTAGTGGCATGTAAACATCCCAAAACGTGTTAAACAATGAACATCGACAAAGAGCACGTGATAGCACAATGATACTCTACTGCAAAACGGACAACCGAAAAAAAAGGATATTTCTAGGGGTAAGCACTTCAACACCTGGATATTGTTTATTGTAATGTATATAAAATACTGATGAAAGACATCAAACGAAAAGCTCGATTCATGATGTGATCGTGATGTTATTTTGGTTCCATTATACTGTCGACTATACTATACATACATAAATAGATAGTGCAAGGCTCATAAAATGGAACAAATCTATAAAAGCTCATAAGCACGACACTGGTAATATGTCAGTGTCTGAGAAAATATATATAGATCCACGAGGAGTGGCGAAATGTTGAACTAATACGAATAAAAATAAAATGAAAATGACGTACACATATACGTTATTTTACTTCCCCACGCAGATCTATAGCTGGTCGTTAGTTACTTGCTCCGCAATAATACTTGAGTGTCTTAACGTGAAATGGGTGATATCATACTGCAAAAAAGGATAATTTCCTGAAAATGTTTGCTTTTTTGTCTCAACTAGAAAGTAAACAATTGTATTTTTCATATCTACATTCTAGTATCCGCCAGCATCTCAGGGTTTGATGTATATATTCGATCATAAGAGATAGTTTTCCAGTCTTGAAAAAGATTGATAATTATTTCAAATATTCCACAGGAGATTGGGTGATCATTGACATTCAATTTAACCTGTATAACACGAAAAGAAGATATACAAACATAACTGTACACATCTTTATCTCTACATATATATACCAAATAGGTTTACAATCATAAGTCTAGCAATCTAAAACCAGGGGCTTGAAATACTGACATAAGTGATACTATACCCAAAATATTATGTACAGAGATAAAAATATATTTCTCGTTGAATGTCATATATATTCAACAAAATAGATCTATATTGAATTCAATCGTATTCATCATGCATATAGGATAGTATCCTTAGCTACAACTCAACAGAGCATTATGTTTGAGATCCGAAACTTATATAGTAGTTTTCTTTACTTGTCAGTTTATGTTATTGCATTCGTCTCCAGATGGAGTTATTTTAGTTTATTTTTACTCTCATATTATTATGTGTCTTTGAAATAGAAATTTTCAAATTGCCTTACAAACTGGTATTCATAGCACAGAAGTACATCCGTGATTTGTAGTTAATTCTTGTTTGATGTTATACATACCAAAGATTACAGATCATCTTCAGCACAGCTGTGTCAAATATGCATGAAATACTGGACAATTATTCTTTTTATGATATTAAGCACTTGAAAAGTATCAATGTCATTTCTGTGCAAGACCAGGATAAAAAAAGTTGCCTACTTATGATATAATTATCAAATAAAAGAATTATATCTCGTTAAATGATCACATCATGTCGTCATTCATTTCAAATTATTTGATATTTTTTATTGCCGCGGCATAGGCAAATTGTAAATGGATGGTAGACATGTGAGTCGAACAAAAATTACACATATTTATATACATTAATATTCCTTTTTTCATTAGAAAATACTGAGAACATGGTTTTTGTTGGTCCAGACTTAAGCTTGAAAAGCGACATTCTCAATTATTATCAACTTTCTTATATTACATATGTTTTCGCTACATTAAATGTTTTTGATATTTCAAGGAAAGTACTACGTGCTTACTCGCGCGTTCACAGCTTATTTATATGGCTTATTGATTTTTGTGAAAACACGAAATATGTTTTCTATGACTGTCCACTTTAAGCCTCCCAGTTTGAAATGTGACCTTGAGTACTGTCTTAGTTTCTTTATTGTTTATAGCCGATTGTTATCGTAATTGAGTCAGGATCGATAGAATCTTTGAACGCTTCCATGCACAATCAATATATATTTATGGATCAACTTAACATACCATATTAATATTCAAAACTGTTTAGCTCTTTCTGTTTATCTACATTACAATCGATTGGTAGATACACATCGCACGCTGTATTTGAATTGTCGTTATTACTTATGCGTTTCAAATTCCACCAAACTAACTTTTATTGAAAAAAATCTTACTTTTTCAACAGGTATGCATCATCATGCATCATCTGACCAATATCGAGGCCAGGCACAAGTCACACAGTAATTAATCTGATAAGATATCTGATATATCACAAATCATATTTTTGTTCGGTTTCGAGTATAAAAGCACTCTTGATTACATGATGTAGTGTTTTGGTCAGGTATAAGTAGAATGGTTTAACAAATACAATGTACAACCAAGTACCAAAATGTCTCACACGTAACGCAAAATATCTAGGTCTGGAAAATAAACACAGACAATGATTTAGCAATGTTCTATGGAAATCTAGGCCAGGAAAAAGCAATAGCTTGGTTGATTAAATGTAGCCTTCAGGTCATGGACATAAACGTCACTATGCACAACATCTAAGTAAAGCACACTTAATGCTATAATTGAGTTTAGTTAACCTCTATATTGGAGTCAATAGCTGTGAAACAGTCAAGTATGCGCAGCGCAATATCATTACTTTCTGTAACTATGATTTTACCACCGTGTTGTCACCCTTTATATTTTTGTGATATATATTTTAACAACAAAATATTAATATCACATTGTTGAATAAATTATCAAACTTGCATTTCACATTTCCTTCAAATACTGTATCGGACCAATTGGAACTGCCTTCAAAATGTTCACATGTTATGCCTTACTTGATAAATTTTCTTGTACATGTAAATATAATCGATATGATAGAGAACGTCTAATGACAAAAACCCTTGAAACCCGCTTTGTTAGAAGATATGGGCAAGAACATTGTGACGTCGCCATACAGTAACAATTATATGATCACAATTGCATTGACAATCTTGCTTTAATGAGACGACGGCTGGTATAAGTAAATATGCATGTAATTTGGCATATGCCATATATGTACATGTATATCTATATACACACAGTTTATGTTATGGAATTAACGTTTATAGGTGCTACCGTAAAACAATTAATTTTCGTTTAATTCATGGATACTCGTAATCCGTGAATTCATATGTCCAATAATCTTTTTACTGTTAAAACGGTATCAAAAACACAGTGTTTGAACTTCATGAAAATTTTAGAATTTTACAATTCTTATATAATTCGAGCTTGTAGAGCAATTTGACACATTTCTAAATGGACAATCTATAAACTATAAAGGAGATGTAGCATAACGTTGTCTATCGTAGACTTAAACCTAAGCTGTTGAACTTTTACTTACCTTTTTTCTTTTTCTTCTTCGACTTTTTAGTTGAAGCTTCGATGCTATCGTCTTTATTATTTGTTATCACTTTAAGGGCTAATTCCTTGAATTTCTTCGATTTCTTCTTCTTTTTTTTCTCATGGTGTTGTTCTGCGACGTAAAGATCATATTCGTATTGCTGTGAAAGACTTCTTGGGCCATCAGGGTTAACTGAAATTGGACTTGGTTGGTTACCCAAGGACGCCACCGTTTTGGGATCGACCGACCTCCAATAGCTATTCTCCATGTCTGGTAAACGTCTAGGTGAGTGCACTATGGTTTCCATTCTGTTATAAAGTTCAGATTGCGTACTACTATCACTGTCAAATGCCGAATGTCCCATAATGGTAGAAGCGAGACCACCTCGTGACCGACTCCTTGTTACCGGCGCCTTCTTGCGGGGTTTCGCACTCGGAACAGGAAGTCCACAGTCTTCATAGTAAGAGTTGAGGACAGTTGTTTTGACAGGGTTGTCATTACTCTGGTCGTCAGAATTATTGGAATACCAGGCCGGCTCCGTCTCGCGCCTCAGTAAATGTCGTCCTTCAGCTTCTTCACTCAGCACACCTACAAAGAGACATTTCAATTAATGTGACACCACAGACCGCCTGGCACTTTACCGTCTTCGTATTCTTGCAGACATTTGTTTCTGCTTGCACTAATACGTATCACGAAAAAGGCTGCAGTTGCTGTATATATGAACTTTTTATACGACTTCATTTCGTGTCTTATTAAATGGTGAATTACCTTATTTATACCACTTTATTTCTTAATATTTTGAAATAGTGAATAACCTTGTTTATATCACTTCATTTGGTATCTTATTAAATAGTGAAAAACCGAAAAAAACTTGTTTATACCATTTCATTTAGTATCTAATGAAAAAGTGAATAACCTTGTTTATATCACTTCATTTGGTATCTTTTCAAATAGTGAACAACCTTGTAGTTTGTTGTCGTTTCCTCAGAAGAATTTTATTTTGTTCAGTGAAATAAGATGATGTTCCACATTTTTGTATGCTACAGTGTTTAATGAAGTGTCGATAACCTTCCGTCCAATAAGATACCATTCATTCTGTATAGTTAATGCTTAATGATTATGTATACATCACATCATCATGTTAAAACAGTTAACACTTTTGGAATTTCTATTGCCATCTCTGCTTTGACTGAAAACTGTACATAGAAGACATAAACATTTCCGAGGTTCTCCCAGTTCTGGCATCACACGAGACACTAGTCATGATGTCTTTTCACACAACTGAGAGAAATGAGAGTTAACAACACTAAAACGTATCTCTAATATTATCTTTAATCATGAACACCACTACATAACACTCAATGCAACTCTGTCAACTGACAATGTGTCCGCATTCAGAACACTAAATACTTTTGTGTAATTATTCAGATTTGCAAACATTGTGTAAGGTTACGATAAAAACAAAACAAATACAAATATATATATATATATATATATATATATATAATGAAAAAAAAAGACAATACAAAACAAACAAACAAACAAAGCAGACAAACAAAGAAACAAAAATATTTGAAAACTGCAATTGAAAAAAAGAAACAAAAACAAAACAAAATAAGATTCCAAAAATGCCAACATAATTTTCAAATTCAATAAAACTAGGGCAAAATAATAACAAAAGAAAGATCTACAAAGAGACTCCTGAAAAACTACAAGGAGAAAGGACAAGGAGTTTCGAAAGAGTAATCGTCTTCTGCTTCTTCGACAACATCCAGTATGTAAACCTTGGTCATTTAAAGTATGTAATGTCACGTTCTCATATGAGAACAATATATACAACAATGAAACCGACAGGCAGACTACCGATGTGTATTATATACCTTTCATACTGCTATTGCGTTTTTGATTTATATATGCCTATATCAGTAGCGGATACCCCCGAATGAGAAGAATGGATCATCGTTATATGTATCTCGTAAGTTAGAGTGGGTTTATAAAAGAGTTATCAGCGTTGCAACTAAATAGCTTATCAGTTCGATGTTTTGGTTACTCATTTCTGGTGTACTTTGACCATTCAGTCGTGTTGCCCTGTCATAGTTTAACAACTGCAGCTATATTGTGTATATGTCAAATCCATCATTATAATAGCAATGCTTGATCAATAAGGCATGTTACTATTGTCTACGGCACGACAATGCCTGTTATATTCTCCTGAAATCATAAGCGTGTTATGCATATTTCAGGACAGCATTAACGAGGAACTGACTGCTCATATGTTGTGTGTAAACATGACGGGTAACTATGGACCCACCTAGACACCACGTCAGCGGTTAGGTATTGATACTGACATGTAGGGTTAGCTGACTAAAATGCATAATATGTTTTAAAAAAAATAAGCTTACTCGCTTAATAAATGACGAGTAAACACGACACAGCCAACCAAAATCATGATAATATCTAAGGAAACATTTATATGATAATCCGAATGTTTATACTAATGATAGTAGCGACTCAACAACAACTTATCAAAATATATCGTGAGGAAGTTTGACGATCTGACCAAACGGGGACATTTTAATACATCGTGAGGAAGTTTGATGATCTGCCCAAACGGGGACATTATAATACATCGTGAGGAAGTTTGACGATCAGACCAAACGGGGACATTATGATACATCGTGAGGAAGTTTGACGATCAGACCAAACGGGGACATTATAATACATCGTGAGGAAGTTTGACGATCAGACCAAACGGGGACATTATAAAACATCTTGAGGAAGTTAGATGTTCTGACCAAACGGGGACATTATAATACATCGTGAGGAAGTTTGATGATCTGCCCAAACGGGGACATTATATTACATCGTGAGGAAGTTAGATGATCTGACCAAACGGGGACATTATAATACATCGTGAGGAAGTTTGACGATCTGACCAAACGGGGACATTATAATATATCGTGAGGAAGTTCGATGATCTGACCAAACGGGCACGTTTGCTTACTAAAAAAATAATGTTCGATACATGTGCTTTATGGCTCCTTCCATCGCCATATTGCTTGTCTTTGGCGTTTTAACGCTTGAAGAATCAGTATTTCAAAGCTCCTTCACGATTATGTTCAAAAGAGAAATACTCTATCTATAATTTAATGTGGATTGTTTACTATTTTCTTTTACGCTCTATCAATTATCCAATTCATAAAAAAGCAAACTTATTTTTGTCCTTCAAATTTATTTTTATTAATACAAAAATACAATTATGGGAAATAACGTTTCAGTTCCGAGATCACGTTGAAACGTCGTCTGCTTCCAGGCTAGCGGTAACAAGATGATGGAATGATTTTCATCCGACGTGCATCGTTGACATGGTTAGGTAATCGCGAATTGAAGACGTAATTCAGATAAAAGTGGTGAACTGTGAGATAGCCTACACAGGATGACTTGTTACCATTCAAGAATTTGAAGCTCCGCTGGGATACTTTATCAACATATATATCTTTTTTTCTTCTCTCTTACCTCCACCTATACTACTGGCGAATACATCAATCATGAACCAAAATCGTCTCCTAACAAAGAGTTTCATAAATGTTAATGTTTCATGAAATGTTTCACACCGATCACTTTATCATGTGGTACAGAACCCAAATTACGACACAATTATATTCAAATACTTATTACCGATTAATTTGTAATATTTGATGCTAATAAACAAAACAGACACACAGAAAACAGTCAGACTGAGGTAAATAAGGTACAACAATTCGATATGAAAGCAAGGAGAAATGAGCTATAGCAGAATATGTACCAAAATATCGTTGATTTGCAAAAGTGGTAGAACAGTAATGCCATTTTCAGTATTGCCAGTAGATAGCAGTCTGGTGACTGGCAACTGCTTTATCGACGTTAGATCGACATGTCTAATTCTCTGTTGCTATACAACATAATTAGCTCTCCGCTTGAGTCGCATTCCTTGGAACTATCTTTGATTTCTAATGAATACTATTGTTTCCTTACGTATTAGAGCATTCGATTACTGTACTAACAAAACAACAGAAAATCTCGTAATTTCGGAGTAAAATCGATATATCTCGGTACTCGAATCTTTCATCAGGTTGTCTTCTATGACTGTAATAATTTGTCATTCACTGATAGGTTTTTAACCAATTTATTATTTAAAAAAAGATTAACAGCGTTGTAGTCTACATATAATAGATACAAATGGTGTGCCACGAAAGTAAAGTTAGTTATCGATATCGGGTTATAGAAAGCGTCGTCTCGTAAGGCAGACGGGCGAATCGCATTCATTAGGGTATTTTGATGATTTCATAAACTGATAAGAGATGAATATTGGGCACATCGATCTAATTTAAACGAAATGATGTCAAAATTGGGCATCGTTTGTTTGTGTCGTTTGTTTGCTTATTCAATATACACGGCGCCAGGATTAGATTCATCATGGTAAGGGTTCAAAGTAAACGAACAACCTATCGTTTGTGGCTCGCCATAACAGGTAAGAAAAAAAGACGCGTGTAAAATACCTTATTTATAACATAAAATCAGCAAAACAAACATATTTTGACCCTGTAATGTACAATGGCCATGCATTTCAAAAAGCAATAGGCATTACGATTGCTCAATGAATGTCTTCTGATAATCGCGACCGATACAGTAACAATGAATCCGCCAAAACAAAAGCCCCATCAAAATTAACAAAACGACAGTAGACTCAGTCGAGCATATAACATGCCATGTATAACCTGTTAAGTCGTTCAGACATGTGTATTACTCGAATGCTGGTTTTACTGATGCCCCGCACGTCTGATGTAATTGATATACATGTTTTAACAGCAATCTTTTTAACAACAGCCTAATAATAGCAAAACGAAAATACTTCTATCCATTATGGACACACTTTGAAATACATTCTATCACTGACGCGTGACTGTATGTTGATTGTGAGTACCGATTATCGATGACATCGATCATTCACGTAGCTCAGTTTAAGAAAAAAAACTCTCCCATGACATGCGACATGAATAATGAATTGTTCTGTGAACAGAGTAAGAGAGATGCTCTGGCTATGCTAGCAAAACCCTGTAGTTCCCGATATCACATCTCATGTACCAGATCTATTAAGTGTAGCTGTGCTTTTGTTGAGTATTGCATCTCGGGATAACTTATATTTCCATCTCACATATTCAGAACGTTATTTCATTAAAAAAAAACCAAATTAAAAAAACAAACAAACAAAATAAGAAGAAAAAAAAAAAAAGGAAACAAAAACAGAAAAAATAAAATATATAGTCATTGTATTTCATACACAAGTGTCATTACACAGAATTCAGGTAAACACAGAATTTAACAGAAATTCATTTACTACATATTTGTACTTTTTTTCTGACAAACACTTCAGTATCTTTTCATGTGTTGACTGAAATTTAGGAACTGTAAAACTGCGAAATTTCTGTAAGAAAAAAGATTACACTACACACTGCCTATAAATTCTGTTTAAAGATATCAGCTCATGAAAATAATGATGACGTTTTACAGTCGTCATAGTGATCTCAGTGTGTGATGTGAAGTTGGACGTGTTTGATGGCCGTTAGTTTGCTTGTTGGTTCTGTTTTTGTATATTTCATTCTCATTGGGAACGTCACATTACCTACATGAAAAGAACTAAGACTTATATGACAGATGACGTCAATGGAGTAGGAATGTGTTGAAGATTTAGCAATCACTTACCTGTTTATAGTTGTCGATGGAAACAACGGGCCACCTGGTCTTATTCTCTTTGTACATTTTTCAAGAGTCTTCGTGTAAATAATTTTTGTTCCTATTTTGCAATAGCTCTATTGTATTCGAGTATTCCCTTTGATCCAGATGACATGTTTTTCATTACATATTTTGCGTTTGCAACCTGATGATGTTACATTGATGTACAAGACAATTCTGTCAATTTCTTAAAACTCAAATTTCAAATTCAAAATTATATGATGATATAACTTATTAAAATTACAAAAATATATTTAGAATAAATATTTCTTTGTTGATTCAATGTATGAAATGAAAGTGAAACAAGGATAATTTGTAACTATTTGTTTTTCTCATGAAAGTCGGGTTTACAGGCAGTAGAGGATGTTTAAAATTTTGTACATAGTTATAGCATTGCTATAGAGACAATCTTATGTACATCGCTTGTATAAAGATAAAACCAACAATTCGTTGGTTTTATTAGTATAACACTATGGTCATGCAATTAATGCCAAAGATTGAATTAATATGATGTTGATTGTAACGCTAAGGTAATGCTGTAGATTGAATAAATATATTTTCAAATGATCGTTAACATTATCTAATGATAATGATAAAAATGGCGTAGATATATTGTTATATAACTAAAATGTTGTGATAATGATATGATAAATGAGTAAATATATTGTCAACTGAAACGTTATGATACTGATTAAGTTGAGTATATATATTGTCAACAATAACGCTATGATAATGCTAAAAGTTGAGTACATATATTGTCAACTATAACGCTATGATAATGCTAAACGTTGAGTACATATATTGTCAACTATAACGCTATGATAATGCTAAAAGTTGAGTACATATATTGTCAACTATAACGCTATGATAATGCTAAAAGTTGAGTACATATATTGTCAACTATAACGCTATGATAATGCTAAAAGTTGAGTACATATATTGTCAACTATAACGCTATGATAATGCTAAAAGTTGAGTATATATATTGTCAACTATAACGCTATGATACTGATAAAAGTTGAGTACATATATTGTCAACAATAACGCTATGATAATGCTAAAAGTTGAGTACATATATTGTCAACTATAACGCTATGATAATAATATGTTTTGGATATAGTGTCAACTGATCGTTAGCATACTTTGTAAGTATACCTCTATTTTATATGGATATATGAATCAAGTATTATATCATGTTGCCAGCATTTTAAGAAAAAAAAAAAAAAAAAACTGAGATGAGAGATAGTATTGGATCATATGAACATCCGTGATATATGGATACAACATACACGAAAAAGAGACAATATAGAATAACCACATGTGTGTTAGACATACGTTGACAAATGTATTACTGCGTTCTGCTAATAAGGATAACCATACACTTACATCTATCTACTTGAAAGTAAACACTTATTTGAAAAAGGAAGCCCTTACCTAGTGGGTTACCATACAGATCAAATCCTGGATTGCTGACAGAGCGACTGAATTGCCGATTGTAAAACTGCCTAGGGGACCGTCCCCAGGGTAGGTCACCTGAAGATAACGACATGGTCAAGTCACTGATACGCGCTTCATGCGAGAAGCAATGAATAGCCCCTATTCGTGGCCTCTTAACATCCAGATTAGCTTCTATGTAATCATATTGGAGGACTCTTTTCATCATTTTCTTCCTATGAAATCGCCAAAAAGACGCACACAAGACCACAACCATAGTTAACACAATGAAGAGTGACGGTATCCAATAAAGAAAGGCCTCTCCCACAGGGAGTTCACTGAGGGCGTTCATTAGGAGAAATTTACTAACTTTTCTCTGCAGAAACAATCAAAGGCGAGATTGCAGTCATTCCACAAAAGAAGAACTGCTTTAAGAGCTACATGTTATGTAACTTTATAGACTACCAGACCGTTCGTTCGTAATATAAAAATGACTAACTACTTTAATGTTATATGAAGTGTTTTTCACATATTTGAAGCGACTGTTTAATTAGTCAAATCCATAAACTCTGCTAACATTTGTTTGTACAAAACTGAATCAGCATACATGGATTCTTGGTGCCTTCCTTTTGAGTTTTGAACACTGATGGTTGTCTTCATTATTAGTGTTGATAACATGTATAGTAACAGGAAAAGTCTTTTCACGTTACCGAAAAGACCAGTATAACTAGGACGTCCATGGATAAGATTAGGAATCCAGATGTAATTTGTCCTTTCCTGTGAGATAAACGAACGCTTTTCAGATGTTATGATCTAAAATACAAACTTTGGAATCACACTTTTGCCAAGAAATCCTCGAATAAATTTTTTTGTTCATTTTTTCTAAGAAGCGAGATAAGAATTTGTCCTGTCTAAAAGGTTAAGTGACTTCATGTGTTATACATCAAACGCCATGCAAATTTTGGAATCGCACTATCACCAAGAAATCCTCGAATAAGTTTAAGAACTGAGATAAGATTCGTTCTTCTGAAAGGTTATGTGACTTCCTGTGATATAATTCAAAAGCCACACAAACTTTGGAGTCGTCGTCCGAGTTGTAGTGTTTAAACAAAATGCTTCTGCTTCTTTTGAGTGTACCTCTCTGAACAATGAACACACAGGAATCGGTCTAGAGAGAGGTATCCCGGACTATATGATACAATGTCATCAATTATGTACCGTTGTTCGCAGAGACTTTGTTTGGAAAGGTTGATGAATAGTGCAATGAACCGCTATGTTGTGTAGGTAACACTTAACATCATGTATCAGGATTTTCTTTTACCACTGGTTACAACGCGTTCCACTCTCCAGTCAATCACCACAACAATTTTTATCCGATACCTCTCCGTGACTGGGAGGTCGTTGACGGCCATTTGGATACCAGTAATGAGAAAGTATATATGAATGTCAATACCTTTCACAACCCACGAGATATGAACGATTTGATATAACGTTCACGTCTTCAAATCCAGTATCTATTTGTTAGCTTTGGTAGATTGCAGTCATTTGTTGACCATTATGTCACCTCCAACAAGTTCCAATGGTGTTGGTGGTACAGTATGTTTCACACAATACCTATATTTCTATATTCATGTTTTCGAGGTATTAATGCATGGAATCATAGCAGAGACGATGACCGGTCACAAATGTTGATGGAAAGGCTGGTGCCTGGCTACAGTTTGAATTTCTTCTTCCCTGTCATTCTGTGTGTAAACACTACCTATATTTTCCTCACAGTGAATGTCTCGTAAAGGCTTGTCACCGCAGCTATAGTTGAGTAGATACTGACATAGCTTACCTGAGATCAATATGGCAGGTAAAATGGTAAATGTACCTGTGTCACCAGTACATCCAGCACGTTAATTACACAAACCTGTATGTGAAACGGTGGATTTTGAGAAGAGGAAAACATAGAAAACACGGCATACATGCTGCAACTTTAAATTGACAAAATTTATGACACAATATAAAGGTAATTGCATTCGTTCGGTAAGAGATATGAGACGATCCATTATTGATGTCTGCATATCTCATTTTGTTAAGTCAGCTAAAGTAAAAAAAGATGTAAACACGTGCATTTGCATGTGATGTTATCGTTAGTAACAGCTATCAATTGTTGCTCATAACATTAGCCGTGTGGATGGTGTAAAATGTGAGGATGTTGTTTGTTACCACTTGAGACAAATATTGAAAGGTAACTGTAAACATTACAGTTATCTACATAGTGGTTTGAATTAATTTAACTATAATACTGTTTATTTCCGTCAAGTTAAAATATCTTGTGTTTACTTGGATATGTCACATAAAACAGTTATCATAAATCAAAAGAAACTTCCTTTAATGAGTTCGTTAACAGAACAGCACGGAAATACCTATGTTTTCAAGTCTACATTGACATTATTGATTCTGCATGAAACTGTGGCGCCTTTCAGGACAGAGTGGCGGCAACGTCACATGATTCCGGAATGAGTGCTCGGCTTTTTAACAGATGTAAATTATTGGAACACAAAAGTGGGAAAATCCAATATAACAATACGTAACAGAGGAGTAGATTAAAACTTAAATTAAGACTACGCGAGTTTTCCCAAGGAGGTCAAGTCTTTCTATTATACTACCCATTTAAACATTCATCTTGTGGTATAGAAGCAGGGTATTAAGGCATAGTAATACTTGGAGTTATGTGGCGTTATTAATCGTTTATGACTCAGCCCTAACCAGATTGTTGAGGAGAACGTATTATTTTAATGAAATTAGGAAGTTCACCCAGTTGATACATATGTGATTTTTAAAATCGTTACGATAACGAATAAATTTTCAGTAGATCTCTATATATTAAAATGTACACAAAATAATGTCATTGAATGAAAAGTCTTAAACATGTTTCTGTCATTCGCTCACACTTAAAGCAGTGTTGCAGAAACATGATAACACGTTTATCTTTTCAGGTACAGTTTCTGGTTGCTCTTGATACTCCACGGTGCAAGCAATGATCTTGTCTTCCATAACATCAACATGAAAACTTACTACGGACTTCTGCATTAGTTGTGTAAATCGAAGATCATGATAAAAATGTGTCGTATTTTCAGCTACACTCATCCAATCATATAACGTTATTCGATTTGCATTGGTCTCCGTGTAAAAACGAATTTGCCATCCGTATAACACTCTTTCATAATTGCTTTGCTTAATTACTTAATTACACTGGATCGTTATAAGGTATTTCTTAAAATCTGTTTGAAAAAGTGTGAAATTTATAGGTAAACACCCATTCGTATGAGTATCTAGATAGAAATTTACTTATGATATCAACATTTAAGTTGTATAATATTCTCTATTTTGTCACCAGAAATAAAATAATGACAATAACTGTACGAATGACTTATAGTGTTATAAAGATTGCTAAAAACGCTTTATTTAAAGGGATTAATCTTGTTGAGATATATATGCAACATTAGCATGCTTGATATGTATGATGTATGGATAGATGAGGATTCGTGTGTTACAGTTTTTGCATTGTTATACAGTCTGTTGACTATGAGCGAGCATTTGTTATACAACACTTACAAATTGTACGTACAATTTGATGAGATGAAAAACATTTGAATATGTAACACGTAGTTTTTATATAATTAATCAATAATCAATTCTGTTGACACCTGAGGTTTAACGGTTCATGGCTGGTTACATCAGAACATGATAAAATGCATTAAGTACATGAAGCCTCGGTTAGCTTTATTATCATTAGTATTGATAAAATATCATTTCGAGTATGTCATTATTTTTTTAAATGTAACTTGATCTCAAACGATAGAAAAATATTGATAACAAATAACAAATTGGTCTCCATTATAATTCCACTGAAAAATAACCATGGCATTTTAGCAGATGACATAAAAATTGATAATCACAACCTTCACGTACAAACACCAATATGAAAAAGTCTACCCGTACAAACATCAATATGAAAAACTCTACCCGTACACATATTCATATGAGAAACTCTATACGCATAAACAAAAATATGAAAGGCTCTGCCCGTACAAACATCGATATGAAAAGCCCTACACGTACAAACATCAATATGAAAAACTCTACCCGTACACATATTCATATGAGAAACTCTATACGCATAAACAAAAATATGAAAGGCTCTGCCCGTACAAACATCGATATGAAAAACTCTGCCCGTACATACTCCAATATGAAAAGCCCTACCCGTACAGATATTAATATGAAAATCTCAACCCGTACAAACATCAACATGAAAAACTACCTGTACAGACATCAATATGAAAAGTTCTACCCGTACAAACATCAATATGAAAAGCTCTACCCGTACAAACATCAATATGAAAAGCCCTACCCGTACAAACATCAATATGAAAAACTCTACCTGTACAGACATCAATATGAAAAGTTCTACCCGTACAAACATCAATATGAAAAGCCCTACCCGTACAAACATCAATATGAAAATCTCTACCCGTACACATATTCATATGAGAAACTCTATACGCATAAACACAAATTTGAAAATCTCTACCTTCACAAACATTAATATGAAAAACTCTACCCGTACAAACACCAAACAGTTTCAGAGTCCATGTCTACGAATTTGATGGACAATGATTGATAATAACTTTCCATCGAAAGTACATATAAAAAGTGGTATATAAAAAGTAAAAAGAAAACAAAAGTTACAAGACATAGACCTCTTAAGACGGACAACTTAGTGTTACATCTGATGATGTCGCTGAAGAACAACTAAAAAATCCATTAAAACATCTTTTTATTTGATATAAAAATAATACACATATCGTCATATTGACATCATATAGTGTCCTCTCTCATCAAGGTTAACGATGGGAAACCGGGACTTTGAAGCCATACATTACGGAAGTGTTTGCTCATTTTTCAGATTGTTCGAACTTGGAAGTTTTAGACTCGTGTCCTTCCAAGAACTTCTTGTCGGCGAAATCTGTGAAGTTAGTACACTCTGCAACAGCACTATCAGGGACCTAAAACAAATGATAAGAAGTACTTAAGATTTCATTTGCACGTTCTGATAGGATATTTTCAAGCAAATGCTAATGTTAAAGGTTGAAGGGGATGGTGTGTTTGGCGTGGTTTTAGTGTTTGTTTATTTTAGTGATATACCACATACTACATGTCTCGTACACTTTTATGATCATTTTTACTGTCTGTTTGACACTGGAATTGATTCACAGCCATTTCAATGGTTTTAGATGTATCTGACAAAACTATCAATTAAGTCTCCAATGTACTGCTTGTTGTACAACGAATGGATAAGTCCTCAAAATGTTAATGAATTTAATGGCTGATCAATAATGACAAAAAACAAAACAAAAAAAAAAAAAAAAACAAAAACAAAAACAAAAACCAAAAAACAAAAACAAAAAACAAAAACAAAAACAAAAAATCATTTAAAAAAATCAGCTAGCGTTGCACGGACTGATTCCATGTCTTGAAAAACATAAAAAAACCTGGAATAAGGATAATTTTCCAGATGTTTTTTATTCTTTTTTTTTCTTAGCATTTTTTTATCAACATTTAATAGATCTATGCTCGGTAATTATTTATATGATTCATTCACATTTTCCAGGCAAACGTTGTGATTATATGATAACACCTTTTACAAGTTTACTGAAATATCATACATATTTTGTTGATATCCGATATAAAAAATCACAAGAAAACAATTTGCTTCACGTTTCACAGAACATCCAATGGCGGCAATAGCGTCCTCACCTTTTGAATCGGTGTATACTGGGCGTGGTGGTGGGGAACAACTGGGTTGTTAGTCTTAGTATTGTACGCTATCAGGTAGGCCCATCTCCTGTCAGGGCTGTCGTTAGCGGAACTACAGTGTAGCAGGTTACAGTGGAAGAACAAAGCATCACCTTTAAAATATGGAGACCGTTTAACAACTATCAAATGGGAAATATTGGACTAAACGACGTATAATATTGGATATGTCAGATATAAGCTATCTAGAGTTTTATTGTTTAGGACTTTGATTTAGACTTTAACGTTCATTGGGACACAACGGAAAATCAACCATCCAAATGAGAACCATACTCGATGTTGCTTAAATTCGATACTTAAACACGACATTCAAACAGTTATAAAAGATAGCTATTGGTCTAAGCATTACCATAACGATGAATCATCGCAATTTAACCAGTGAAAAATCAGGATTTTACCTGGTTCCATCTCTGCGTATGTCAGCGGACAAAATTTCTTTATTGCCTCCACGCGCTCTGTATTTGCAGCCATTTGACCGAAGGATAGTTCGTGGTCAATGCGACCACACTTTTGTGATCCAGGTAGAATCTGATGAAAGGAATTTTTGAGTTATCGTTTTACAGATAAGATAACTTTGACAAGGGAGTAATTCTGTTCTGGGCGAGACACGATGAAATGTTTGTATTATTTTTGAAAGTATTCCTAGCTATGAGCAAGAAGATGAACATGAAACCACTTTATATGATCATGTATCTCTCAGCAATTACGATAAAAAAAACCTGCTAATAGATACAAAGTGTACTGGCAGAGGCAATTTGTTTTCTCCTTGTATCTAGTTGGGAAAAACAACTTTAATTTGCTCAAACTAAATGCAATATCTACCATTTTGTTAAAGTTCAGTGTTGAGTGTCCACTCAAATAACCAACATTCAAACACCCGTTCTGTATACATCAACGTCTTAAGGCTTTACGTTCCAGGACTCTGTTAAATTACGTGCAGATATCAGTATTACACAACCGATGTCATTGTAAAGATCCCAGGTTATGGATGCAAGGACGTTTTCTATTTTGTTAATCCTGCTTGTCCCCTTTATCTGGCGACACTGTATGTGTTGTACAACACTACAAATTCTTTTGTTTTTAATGTTGAACTTTCGTATCGTTATTTTATACTTAGATATGGTCAGATTTGTCGATTTTCGTCAAGCATCGGTTACGTTTGTACAGTTTGGTTATAAATGATTTATGTAAAATGGTAATACAATCTAAAGGCAACCTTTGAAATTCACTATTGTCTTTTAACCACTGTATTATAACATCTACATATTGAATAAGTTGATATTGTTGTTACAGAACCGTAGTTAGTTTATGCAGAGGGCAAACAAGACGTCACTTCAGCATCGAAATATACTACTTGATTTACATTACAGCTCTGTTGGTTGTTGTATGATACGCATGAATTGAACCTATTATAAACCTGATGAAAATCTAAAACATGCCATACATGGGTTGGCTGTAGTGAATTATAGTCAATGAAAATCAACAGGGGCACTTAAAAAGATGGTTTAGGAGTTTACAAAAAAAAAAAAAAAAAAAAATACGCGTTCAATATTTGCACTGTAAGAATGCATCCGACTTTTTATTGACGTTCTGGTTTATGTCTTTTGTTGTTGTTTTTGTTTTTTGTTTTTTTGGGTTTTTTTTTCTTATTTTTTGTCTTATTTTGGTATTATTGTTGTTTACCTAACATTAATGAAAGAAAAGACATATCATCTTACATATCTAATCAGCTTAAGTTTTCTAAGCGGATATAGTTAGTAGATTGTCGGGATTTCACGGGTATATCACTCTATTTTCATTGTCGTTGCAGGTTTAAGATTTCTACAGAGCCTCAAAGCAAGTGATGTCATACCTGTAAGCATCCATTTGTCCTGGCACACTTGTCAATGGCAACGAAGACTGTCATCATGTCTGGGAAAAGGCAGGTATTTTTGTACCAGTACCTGCGAAATTACGTCATACATGTTATTGATTTAATCTGAGTTTGATGAACGAAGAAATTTTACAGCTTCTGTTTAATTTGAAATGGAATGAAGTAATCGATATTGCGCAATGAACATGCATTTGTAATGCATGTTCATTGCACATAGATAGGAGCAATGTTCACTGAGACAGTTTACCCGTAGTCCTGATGCCACAAGTGAGCTCCACCAGTGAAGGCGTCTTTGTACAATAATTTACCATGATACTGGTATACTTCATCTCCCAGCAGCTAAAACGAAAGAGACGATCCAGAAGGATTATAACGTTGTACGTATCTGTACTTTCTTCAAAGTCACATACATTAACAAGTATAAGTACATTTAACTAAAATTGTACAAAAACACACAAGTGAGTAACACCTTTTGATGCAATTTTAGAGTGAGATACGGAATCATACGATCGTTAATTTCCTTCTAGGACTCCTCAGTGATGCTTGGAGCCTAAAGTTTAAACGCTAGGAGGCAACTGAGGTAAATCCAAAGTAATAGAAAAAAAGTCAAAATCTTAATCTGATTATTTTCGAACAACGTTGAATACATGTTTATATTCTGCAAATTCTTGAGCTTCGTTACTTATCATTTCACAAAAATCAATAATTTCCTTTTCTCCTGCGTACGTCTTCACAGGTATTGACAATCTTGTCACATCGCGCCATGACTCCTGATACGTCATTTCCGGGATGCGTCCAGACTACAATTTTAGTTTGTTTACCTGCTCCATCACCAACCTGAAATGATTTTATTACATTCAAACTGATATTAGGCTTAAGTATCTTGCAATAGAAAGGAAATTGGATAAGTAGAAAATCACATTTGATATTACCCAAAAAACCCTAATATACTATTTGATAATTCCATAACTAAAAAAGTCAACTTACTTTTAACCCATGTTTTGCGATCAGGTCTGATTCTTCGAAAACTTTTCGCAGATTTGCCATTTCTTTGTCATCGAACATACCTCTGTAAAACGGAATCGTTCAAAACAAACTACATATTCTGCATAGTTCATAGATTTATTAATACCATAGGGTTTGAGAAAAGTTGAGATGGGAATATTGAGATAATACAGTGTATATTAATGTCCTTTTTTTGGACCGTACTATTCTTTCTTTAGGGACATGAAATGTTGTTTCGTTAACGGATTGCTTAACATATAGTTCGTCTAACAAATAGAGGTTTGGAAAGACTGACCTGATTAAGATGTACCCATTATTTTCGAAATTCTTTTTCATATCGGCGGTTACTCGAAATCCATCTATCGTAAATTTGTACACTGCAAAGTTGAAAAAAAACAACAAAAAAGCAAATAGATGAAGACCTGGAACATAATGATGAAAATTGTGTCATTGCTCAAGAATATATAGAGGTTACACAAGACATGGATTATATAAATTGTGTTTCCATCTTAGCGTTAGTTATGTTTAAAAAAAAGTTTAAAAACGGGCTTAAGATGGTGATTTTGTAATCTTGAAAAAAAATGAGGGAAAAAATACCATATACAACAAACTCGAATTTGTGGAACGTGTTTGTACCGCAATAGAAGAACTATTCCGAGTGAACGCCCTCTCAATTAAAGTTCACCGTGCAAGCCAATCAAAACGTTTGCCAGTTTCTTATACGTGTGGTAAATGTATGTGTTTACATTTGCAATGATTTGATAAGGCCATAGGCGGTGAATGATACCAGCCTATCGTGGTAGAAGCGTGGTATTTACCATTTCAGTTTTAACGCTGTACATGAGAATCAGCTGTACGTATAACTGTATTTAAGAATCATTAGTACCTGCAACTGGACACTATGATCATGTTGTACATGTTATTGTTCACGAGGATGAACTCTGAACGTTATTTTACACGGGGATGAAATGTGCACGTTATTGTACACGGGGAAGAACTGTACACGTAATTGTACACGGGGATGGACAGTACACGTTATTGCACACGAGGATGAAATGTGCATGTTATTGTTCACGGGGATGAACTGTACATGTAATTGTTCACAGGGATGAACTGTACACGTTATTGTACACGTGGATGAACTGTACACGTTAATGTACACGGGGATGAACTGTGCACGTTATTATAAACGAAGATAAACTGTACACGTTATTGTAGACGGGGATGAACTGTGCACGTTATTGAACACGGGGAAGAACTGTGCACGTTATTGTACACGGGGAAGAACTGTGTGTGTGCACGTTATTGCACACGTGGATGAACTGTGCAGGTTATTGTACACGGGGATGATCTGTGCACGTTATTGTACACGGGGATAAACTGTGCACATTATTGAACACGGGGATGAACTGTGCACGTTATTGAATACGGGGAAGAACTGTGCACGATATTGAACACGGAGAAGAACTGTGCACGTTATTGAACACGGAGAAGAACTGTGCACATTATTGTACACGTGGATGAACTGTGCACGTTATTGTACACGGGGATGAACTGTGCACGTTATTGTACACGGGGATAAACTGTGCACGTTATTGAACACGGAGAAGAACTGTGCACATTATTGAACACGGGGATGAACTGTGCACGTTATTGAATACGGGGAAGAACTGTGCACGATATTGTACACGGGGATGAACTGTACACGTTATTGTACACGGGGATGAACTGTGCACGTTATTGTACACGGGGATGAAATGTGCACGTTATTGTACACGGGGATAAACTGTACACGTTATTGTACACGGGGATGAACTGTGCACGTTATTTTACACATGTAGCAACATGTTTTAAGTATCGATATTTGATCATTGATATAGCAAGTTGTGTTATTGAATAAAATATCAAAAACATTACCTCCAGTCGGTTCTGCCATATCAAATGCTGATGATATTGATCTGTAGAAAAAAACTGTATGTACTATGTATGTATATGTTATTAGCCTGTAGATTCTGTAATGCATGACGAAAAATGGATATCCTCAACCTAACTTAAATATCGTGTTACTTACCTTTATCCTCCTCAAACAAACCGGGCGTTTATGCTTATTTATTGATGTATTACACGTGATGTACAGTCAATGATATATGTAGGACAGTAAAGAGAACAGTGTTAGTATCTAGAACAGCGTGTCGTGTTTGATAAGGGACGTCAATGCTCCGACATAATTAACTGATACACGACATCCTGGTTACAAACCCATACACGGAGTCGGATCACACTTGGATATCACAATCCAACGGCGTTAACAAAACGACAATATATCAGAATCCACCCGGTACCCGGCGTAACAACCAATAATAAACTGCTGTTTTGTTTTAAGAAAAGCTAAAAAAAAGATATCTAAGTTATTACTCAACAGTTTCAAAAATAAGCGCAAGTTTATGTTCAAGGACCTACAACTGATCGTAGGGTTTCCCAATGTTCTGTTGTGTTTTCGTCATTTTAGGGTTCGATAAGTGAATGTTTATAAGCTGATTCCTCATAAACAACTGAATAATGAAGCGAGTGTATATTCAGTACTAGATTAAATTTCTTGTCTGATAATGAGTCACGTTTGTTGCTAGGCAACTTGGTTTCTTCCGAAACATTTAAGGTTATCAATAATGTGACTAGTGTGCATGTGAGCTTTGTGGCAGTCCTGGGCCATGGAAGGTTTGAGGGGTAGTGGACAGAGCATGCGCAGTTAAAACAAGGTCATATCACGCCACCGGAACGACGAATTGAAAAATTGGCAAATTCCCAATTAGTGTTTATGTGTGACAACAGTACTGTTAATGAGATCATCAATAAAACAACATTGACGGATACTAAACTGGTGAAATTAATTTAACGCTTGATGTTGGCGCATTTAAGGTTTTCAAAATGTCATAGCTGACAGTCTGTCACGTTTACTATTTCAAGAAAGCTTAGAGTTAAGCCAACATCCAGTAAAGATCCAGTATCGTCTGATGACGGTATAATACTGTTATTAACTTCTCTGGTTTAATCTATCAGAAACTGATATCATTTCATAAACATTTACAGCTAGACATATCCTGCTGATTGATTTTTTTTCATTTTCTCAAACAGTACAAGCATAATAAATTGCCATACTTCTTTCAGAAATGTGAGTTATGTTACCATGTACTTTTAAGTACGTGACATTAGCTTTACATAAACTCGAAATCATGACCATGCTTCTAACTTTTTCATGAAAAGCTATGACAATGTATACACGATACAAAGACCCTATCGGAAAGTAGACTTACCGGATATCACAGGTAAAGGTTCTAATAGCTTGTTCGCGAAGAGAGCAATTGTGTCAGCCTATGTTCCTCAAAGCATTTCAAAGATTTTTTTTTCAAAATTGGAGGGACTTTCAATTAAGATAAAAAAATATCTGATCAAATTGTTTAGGTTGGAGATGTCAATTTCTCGAGTGACTCTAAAACTTCGGAATGTGATTGTAAAAATTGCTATTCACAAGCAGACTGATATGAAGCAATTTCTTACAGTGACCCATGCTTGATTCGTTGATTTTCTTTGCTCTGTCAAAACGCTGCACAACATAGAACTGTCCTTTGTTTCTTTATTCTATTCTTATTATAAGAGTTGTGTAGCTTTTCCTGTCCTTTATTGATTTGGATCTAAAACGTTCTAACAGATAAATTTACAAGATAGAGGCAGCCACTACTGCATCTGCGAAATGGTTAGATGAGAATATGATTAAAAACGTGGGTTGCTGAAAATTGGATGCTATACTGGGTAAAACACATAATTGGTATTAGAATCCATTAATAGTCTGTTTGTTTCTGTCTACTCCTCTCAATGTACATTAACAAGCTTCGAAATCAATACTGCCTGATTCGTCTGTTAGATTTAATTATGTTTGTTATTTTCGATGTAAAATCTGCTATTCTCATGGTTAAGGTTAAAATCTATATCAGTTATAGTTTGTATTCAGTGAGGTTAGAGTTACTCTCTAACTTTTCTCATGGTTAAGGTTAAAATCTAAATCAGTTATAGTTTGTATTCAGTGAGGTTAGAGTTACTCTCTAACTATTCTCATGGTTAAGGTTAAAATCTACATCAGTTATAGTTTGTATTCAGTGAGGTTAGAGTTACTCTCTAACTATTCTCATGGTTAAGGTTAAAATCTACATCAGTTATAGTTTGTATTCAGTGAGGTTAGAGTTACTCTCTAACTTTTCTCATGGTTAAGGTTAAAATCTAAATCAGTTATAGTTTGTATTCAGTGAGGTTAGAATTACTCTCTAACTATTCTCATGGTTAAGGTTAAAATCTAAATCAGTTATAGTTTGTATTCAGTGAGGTTAGAATTATTCTCTAACTATTCTCATGGCTATGGATACAATCTAACATTATTCGCATTTTGTATTCTTTGGTTATTTTTTAATGTGAATATATATTGGTATATTTCTTATTGTTTTTTATTTTGATATGATGTCAATATTGCCTGTTCACTGGTAAATATTTCGAATATTCGGATATCTACTAATCACAGCGTGTATATTGTTTATGTGAATTCAGAGCTTTGATAATATATAATCTATACTATGCTACTGATTTGCAAAAATATCTTATATCATATTCGTTCAATGTTTTGGAATGTATTGTACTCGTAAATTCATATACTTTCTAAATGATTTATGTATTTTTACATCATTTTTATATGTTCAACAGCACTGTTTTTTTCATAAATTTTAAATTTTGTTTTAGTAGTTGATGCATTCATATATTGTGATATCAGAACTATCTGCTCTTTTTTCTGTTATTACTTTTGTGTGATACACTATCTTCTAGGTATAAGCAAGGATTAACTTTATAATTTTATTCAGAAACTTTGCAAGGGTCAGTCCGATCACATCATATCGTTATTATGATATTACGCATCTTGCCCTGTTTATTAGGTTACTTATTCGTTGTTTTACGTCCAAGTCAATGTTATTTAAGAACCTATCAGGATTGAGTGGTGAAAGCAAGAAGGGAATCCCGGGAAAAACCCATCAACCTGTGGCCAGTACTTGGGGACTGCCCTTCACATGCCTCGAACCCGCGACCCAGAGATGGGAGGCGTGATAAAAACGGTCAGATGCGTCAACTACTCTGCCACAGCGTCCTCTTGATCAGTAGACAGGCGAGCATCACGCGTCCTATAACATGTACAAGACATATAATGGTGTCTGATTACACACCACAACATTTCAGCAAAAATTTCTTTATTATAATGTTTTTTCCAATTTATCAAATCCCATTAGTTTTAAACAAATTCTTTCCAATACGCGATTGCTGTTAATAACATCACACGCAGAATTGCCATCAGCTTAATTGAAGTTTGGTGAAGTTTTCTAAGCATTTATGTCTCGCTTTTGTCGAACTTAGATGTTAGTTTAGACTCATGTCCAGTCAGGAATTCTTTGTCGGTGAAGTCAGTATAGTTGGTACACTCTTCTACGGCACTGTTAGGGACCTAAGTATCACAAATATAAGCAAATTATAAATGATTGCTTCATGTTTTAAAACATTACAGGCTTTCTTATATGCCCGGCCAAAAAGTAAGTGACGTTACATACAATTAGCCATTCGTGTAGACAAACGTGACCGCAGTAAAAGTTGAAGTAATTGAATATCAGTGTAACAAAGGTGTTATTGATGAGAGTTTATCTATTGTTCTTCTTGTTGAAATGAAACAAGACAAAGATTGCTAAAAACACACATATGGACAGTACGGTACATTTATGCACAGTAGAACAAATATTATTTAAAATGCTGTTTTGTTTTTACGGGAGGCGTAAGTAATGCTGAGGGCCTAGAGTATGACGCTTCGAATTGTCGTAATATTCTTACCCTTTGGATGGGTGTATACTGGGCGTGGTGGTGGGGAACTACTGGGTTGTTTGCCTTAGTATTGTACGCTATCAGGTAGGCCCATCTCCTGTCAGGGCTGTCGTTAGCGGAACTACAGTGTAGCAGGTTACAGTGGAAGAACAATGCATCACCTTTAAAATATGGAGGCAACGGAAACAAATGTAACATACAAAATATTACTGTGACAGATACAATTTCAGCACAAGCTTTACTTTTACCTAAGACGACTGATAATTTGTATCTACATAGAAAAAAAAAAAAAAAAAAACATGAAGTTTTACATTAACCGTAACTGTCACGCGCGATCTTCCCATTTAATTGACCGGTTTTGACAAAGACTGATTTTCTTATTTATACTATATCTACTTCCCATGTTAGATTTAACCTTATGAAGTGCTTGGTATAATAACAATAATTTGATTAAGAAAAGATCGTGCAAATATAACATACTGGATGGCTGTAGGTCGGCTAGAGGTACTAACTGGATCAACTATTGTTGTAATTCGGTCGGATTAAGTTTGAAAACATTTGACATACTGCCATGGCTGTAACTAGGTCAAAATTAGGCAGTAACTATACCATACACTATATATTGGCTGTAACTAGGTCAGAGTTAGGCAGTAACTATACCATACACTATATATTGGCTGTAACTAGGTCAGAGTTAGGCAGTAACTATACCATACAACTATATATTGGCTGTAACTAGGTCAGAGTTAGGCAGTAACTATACCATACACTGTATATTGGCTGTAACTAGCTCAGAGTTAGGCAGTTACTATACCCTACACTGTATATTGGCTGTAACTAGGTCAGAGTTAGGCAGTAACTACACCGTACGCAGTATATTAACTGTAACTAGGTCAGAGTTAGGCTGTAGCTACACCCTATACTGTGTATTGGCTGTAACTAGGTCAGAGGTAAGTGGTACCTATACCCTACACGGTATACCTTCTGTGTTTAGGTCGGATAAGTTTGTAATTATGTTACACACTGGGTCAAACTAGGTAGGAAAGAAATAAAAACTGTATTAGATATAAAATGGACTTCAGTTATAGATATACCTGGTTCCATCTCTACATACGCAAGTGGACAAACGTTTTTCACTGCCTCCACGCGCTCTGCCGTGGCAGTCATTTGACCAGAGACCATTACGTGGTCAATCCGACCACACTTTTGTGACCCAGGTAGGATCTGTGAACATTCATTGATACGTGTAACAAGTGATGCATTTGTATTTGTAAATTGTCTGACCGCATATTTTCTTTTTTCAATAATCCTTCTAACTTAGATAGAATAGAAAAAAGGCTTCTTACACAACAGTTTAAAACGACGTAGAATTGGAATTTGCGTCGATAAAAATAAACAGGATAACGGATAAGCTTTCTCTATTACCATATACACAATTAAAAGAACTTTTTGCATATGGATTATTTTCACGAGACGTTATACCGAAGCGCGCATTGGAGATTTGAAGCATAAAAATAATTGCTGAATTGTTCTTTTTCTTTACAGTATGAATGGCATCAGTACATATGTGTTGAATTGGTTTGGGACAATAAAAATACTCTAACAATTCGCTTCGATTTTATGTTAGTGTTAATAAGCGAGGAGCGTCCATCACGAGTTCAAATCGCTCGCGATTATTTGTACGAAAAAGGTTATCAATGCTGCTTCGGTTACCGATATCATAGTCCCGAAAAATCCAGGTCTCTGATAGCTCTTCATTCTCAAATTTAAAGTAATTTATATATCAGCGTTCGTGAAATCGTGTATTTCGAATGTTTTATGAGGTTACTTCATAAGATAAAGTGTTCGTGAAATATAAGTGAAATTTCAATCTAGCTTTATATCTCACAAATTGAAATCAGTCAGCCAATTTTGATTTATTTAGTCTCCTGAAGTCACCGAAGGACGAAACAATTGTATGTATGTTCTAACGACATAGTTAATAACACCTAAACTGCATTTGATTTTAAAAAAAGTTAGTCAAAGGAAAAACATATTTCCATACATATCAAATCAACTAAACTTTCCTACTGGAATAATTAGTAGATTTTCGAAATTGTAAGGGCGTATCGCTTTTTTAATTGTCGTACAAGCTGCTTAATTTTTTTTTTTAAATCTAATATCATAATTAGATATAATCGTTTTTTACAACAATTGCGAAACAAGTCATTTTCATCAATACTAATCCCTCTTGTTGATCAGGATGTAAACACACGATCAAATATCATCTAAAAGTTTAGAACATCAAGGCAAGTAAAATACCTGTAAGCATCCGTTTGTCCTGGCACACTTGTCAATGGCAATGAACACCGTCATCATGTTTGGGAATAGACACGTGTTCCTGTACCAGTACCTGGAAAGTTGTGTAAAATACTACGTAAGTCACCATTAATCATAAACTTACACAAAACAATTTCATCAGTAGCATGAGTGCTTGATTTGTTCTTAAATCGTCGTAAGGACATAGATAAAATAAATACGAAGACAGTTTACCCGTAGTCCTGATGCCAAAGGTGAGCTCCACCAGTGAAGGCGTCTTTGTAGAGTAATTTGCCATGGTAGTGGTATACTTCCTCTCCCAGCAGCTGATCATAAAGGACAACGCCAAACTAACCATTTCATTGCTTACATACTACAATAAATGCTACATATCTTTTCATTGGTTACATGTAGACTTTCTATTCGGAACTCAAAAATTACATTACGTAGCTTATAAGAGGTTTCAATTTGACATAAAACATACTTCCTCGCAGGTATTTACGATCTTGTCACATCTTGCCATCATTCCAGATACGTCACTTCCAGGATGGGTCCACAGTGCAATTTTAGTTTTCTTACCTGATCCATCGCCAACCTGAAATATATCGATGATAATTAGCTGCGCGAATAGAAGAATTTATATCTTTGGAAGTGTCTGTCAAAACCATTCAATAATGTATGCTGAGACCATTAACATTATTGTTGTTGTTTACAGAATGTTATGAATTGATTGTTCAAATTTATTTTACTCACTTTCAACCCATGCTTGTCAACAAGGTCCGACTCTTCGAAGACCTTACGCAGATTTGTCATTTCTTTATCGTTAAAAAATTCCCTGTAAACAATGAAAAAAAGCGTATGCGATATTAACTGTAATAAGTGGCATGGTTTGTGTCAGTGCGTTAGCTCTTCCGAGTGTGACTTTTGATGATCGCATCTTTAATTGATTAATTTTATACACTAACTTTGTTTTTTTTTTAGTAAAGCTATTTCTTTAAGGTATTTAACATGTAAAATACACATATAAAAAGACTTGGCAAACTTACCTGACTAAAATATACCCATCATCCTCGAAATTCTTTTTCATGTCAGCTGACACACGAAAATTATCCTTCGTAAAATCATAGACTGCAAGAGGGAATTGGTGGCAAACGAAAATAAGGCTCTGAACATATATATTATAGGACAAACTGCTGAAAATAATCGTTTACGACGGTGTCAACTTAATATTGACATATTCTGTGTAACACTAACAATAAGAATATGTCTATCCCACTTCAATTATATGACTGTAAAGCAATAAACGATGTTTCATCTATATGCTTGTATTTTTGAACACCATCGTCAGAAGCCAAATGAAATAGCTACGATAGAGTCAATAAATCGTGAAGCTACGATAAGAAACTATATATATATAGTTTCAACGACTCGCTTGTATAAAGTCGCTTTTACGAGAAACTAAAAGTAAACAAAGGTTTTAATGAAAAACTTTCTTTTATAATTTACAATTTAGAAACCAATTAATGTGGCAGTGATATAAATTAAGTTAGCTGCGACTGTCAATTTGATTTCCACACGCGGAGCTTATAACGATAGGGGAAAAGGAGGATAGCACTTTTTCTGTTTCTGTATGGTATGATGTTTAATAGGTTATATGTACACTGTAATATGGAATTGAGAGCATGCGATTGATCTTGAGAGAGCAATTAAGTTACCAACCTGACGCTATCGAGAATGGATCATGACCTAAAATGGAACGATATTTTAGATTATTATTTTTTTCTTGAAATGTCACATTGAAAGTCTTACCACCCGTCAGTTCCGCCATGTTGTGTGAGGGAATGTGGTTCTGTGAAAAGTAAGACACTGTTCGTTTGTTGTATGTATGTACATATGTGTCAATTATAAATCGAAAAAATGACAATTGACAGGCGAATGAAAACATGACGTATGCTACTTACCACTAATTGTTTGGTATTTCACACATCTTACTCAGTGGTATGTTATTGAGCAGATATATGCTAGCTATCAGATACAGGTATATCGTTTATCTTATTCATTATAAGCTGCTGGTCAGTATCTGTGACGTTAAGATTAGAGCTTACAAATGTTAAACTACATTATAACAAGTTTATAACACGGACCAGCGAGTTTATGATGGCAGAATCTTTAGTACTAGTGGTAAAAAACTTTAAACAGTGGATATAGGATTAACATAAGGTATTTCCATAATGGTCACCAAACACAGATTAAGTCTGGTTTGAAGCCAGGTTTAATATTTGTACATATTTATAAAAAACTTTCGACATGTTGAAAGTGTAAAAATATCACATTTCATGTTGATTTCGTGTACGTGAATTTCTGCAAATTCCTCAATGTGTTTCTCCGAGACCTTATTGCCATTTTGTATAAACTGTATTACTGACGAATGAGAAACCCCAGAAACTGTTTTTACAATAAATTTTGCAATAAATGTGCCATTGACACAGAAGCAAAAAGTAATCCCGAATACACAGATGAAACACTAAAACGATCTTAAACCGATGTGCCAAAAAACGAATAATCAAAAGAGATTGATAATAAATAAAATAATTAAAGAAAATTCCAAAATGTCGACGGAATTGTATGAACAAAGGAAAGATTTACACAGAAAAAACCTGTACAAGAAGACTAAAATCTAGTTGACTGGAAGAGTGAACATCTTCTAAATCTTGGTCTATGTAAGTAATTCATGTCACATTCTCAATCTACAACCAAGTTTGCATCAACAAAATACCATGCACAATAAAAACATAGGACCAATATAGGTTACGTCGAACTAGGAATTTTATCCCATGGAGATCGTTCTAAACGTCATGAAACATTACTGTAATTTTTCTCAACATGCATCCCTCGCAACCCTATATTGTCAAATAACATATCCTCCTTTTCTTCTTGATTATCTACATCATAAGGTAAAAATCTAACACAGCATGCGTTTTGGCGTATTTTTCTAATTTCATGTAGGCAATATCATGGGATATACATAATTCTTGGGTGATCTCAGCACTAGCATCAGCTGATTGTCCTGTGGCATAACGTGTGGTATACACAAAATGTATGGTCTATATGACATTTCCAGAAGCTGTGTTTCATTCAAATATTAAGACAGCATCATGTTTATTTCCATCTCAGCAAACAAAATAGTACTGACTTGGATTCACCAAGTTTTACATGGTGGGTGTCGTCGAAGCAGAGGCTTATTCTCCCTCTTCTTTGTTAGGATTAATTTTGCCATAGTGTCATCGGATTTCTATTTTCATTTACATTCTCTTTTCATATCAGTGTTTTTTTTGTTTTTTTTTTTATAGGTTTTGAGGTACAACTCTTAAATCTATCATACACTATTGTCTTTTAGTTTAAAATGTACAAAGGAAATACAAGTATTATGATGAAAAGTTCTAAACATTGTTCCTTCATCTTATGTATTTGCTACCACTCTATATATAAATTGTAAATAATTAAGATATATGACATTCAACAGAAAGTTTTCGAAAGAAAAACCACTTGGTCTGTATTGGTTTTTGTAGATAATACAATGTGTATAGTACATAATTAGTTCTAGAGAAATTCCACAGGCTAAGAATGCTTGTATAAAACTATATACAAGCTGTTAGTACCACTGACAAATTGAGGTAAGATGTTACTAGTTTTAGGTAAGAAACCAAGTTTTGATTTGTAGGGAGTAGAAATTTGATAATTGCAGATGGAATAGTGAATTTCAGAATGTGTTTAAAATCAGTGTATGTTACGTTTTCTGTTTACATGACATAACTTTGTTATGTTTACAGTATAATCAGATATGATCAACAATGGGGTATTTCCCTCCTTGTAAAGTGTATATACGTCTTTAGGTCCCCTAAAATGTAAAAGATTGTTCCGATGTACATAAAAGAACCCCATTTCTCCAAGTTGAATAACCATTGCTGAGGACCGGAACAGTAACCGAGTTAACCCAGAAAATTAGTGTTCTCATTTAGTTTCTGTTTTGTGGGAATAAGATGAATTCGTAATGTAAGTTGACAGTCAAGTATGAACACTGTATTTCACTTTCGTGTTCATGTAGAGGGGTGTGATGTCAGAAACTCGTTCATATAAATTGCATCAATATAATTCATGATAACAAATACATTGATGTTGTACATTGAAATGATTTGTTTTAAGTTTGTTATGTACCATCGAAATCATATATTACAATATGCGATGAAAGTGGAAGCCAAAAGTAACGGAGTCAGGTGGCTGAAGCTTAAACGAGTACACCCGAAACATCTCGACCACAACCGACAAGCCAGTCGACTTGGCGGATTTAGGTCACGCGACAAAAACAAGAAACTTTACAAAATGGGAAATTGGTGACGGGACTTCTTTGGCTCGCCATCCCTCCCTTTATTCTTTAGGATATTACGCATTTCCTTTGTAGTTATATTATGTTCTACATTTTTGCATATATTACAATAATGATACTGTTCGTGTTGTAAATATGTTTGTATAAGACGGTCGACATTGTTGTTACTATTTCTGCCATGTCAAGCGTCATTTGATAAAATTACATTACTGGATATATTTCTTTGTTGTTGTTGATATAAACTTTACACAAAAATATAGCTCTTGACTCATTATCTACACATTTATCTTCAGGTAAGTGCTTTCCCGTTGTTTATCGGTAAGATGCATAGTCTCCGGTACCCACATGTGTTTGCCCTTGAAAGATAGTTGTTGTCTTGTCAGTAAATGTTGAGCTCAAATAGTACTTCATCTTCTGTGTATCTACATAGACATCATAACAAATAAGGCCATGCAATCGTTATATAATTCTCGATGCTCCGAGGGCTCCATAAAGTGACCGTAACCCCCTGAGTATCAAGGATGTCAGTCGATCTGTATAAATATTTTTGTTTTTGTAAACAGCCACCGTGATGTATGTCTTCTCGCTATCGTTTTAGTTTATAACTTTACAGAAGTTTCGTGTAACAGAGGATACATCTTAGTCAAGATGAATGCAACATTCAGCACGTTTGTGTTTAGTGAGAGATGATAAATAGAACAATACATAGGTCTTTTTCATGGACAAGGATACATCAACTAGAAAATTTGGTTACTCAGCAGGCTTTCTGGGCTTGCCATCCTTATACACAGAAAACATCGACGATTTGTTAGTTTTTCTCATATCTATAAATGTGAAAGGGGATTCCCCCGTCGCAAAAAAAAAAAAAAAAAAAAAAAACAAGAAAAAAGAAAAAAATACTGCTACAAACATAAGAGTTGTCTTTTCCTAATCCTTTAGGACTGCTAATGTCATCCCAGGATGGTGGTTTATTTTTAAAAAATGATAAGAATCAGAACAGTTACCTCTTTAGAAACATATAGTATTTTTGTCAGATTATTCAGAGAGGTATGATTACTTCTTCGAGATATTTAGCTCTTCATAGATGCAAACACTGGATTTTATCGTCAGTAGCAGGGGAATAATTCCAACATTCTGACTCATCCCTGTTAATATGAACACTTAGGAAAATTATGGTTGAATATAACCGTCTATAATACTATAACTTAATCAGAAGCTAGACTATTGCTACCTCCGTCATACGCTATCATTCGTATTCATTAACAACACTATGTCTATAACAAGATAACTGCTTATTCATATATAAAATTGCCCTCGACGATAAATGGAATAGTCACTATAGTAATAGTCAAAATAATAGTTAGATCAGTAGCTGTATTAATCAAGGATAACGTTTTCTTTGACGGATGTATACTCTGAAAAATGTTTAAATAAAGTAACCTCACGAAGGAATACGTAAGTAATGAATGAGTAAGTAAGGATTTCGTTTGATATGTACATCCTCACCAAAAAATAAGTGTTACATATCTCGTGTAACCAAACTAACTCCAATGGCCTTGAGTTGTGTAAGTTTTACAAACCTCGTATACCCAGTTTAACTCCAATGGCCTTGAGTTGTGTAAGTTTTACAAACCTCGTATACCCAGTTTAACTCCAATGGCCTTGAGTTGTGTAAGTTTTACAAACCTCGTATACCCAGTTTAACTCCAATGGCCTTGAGTTGTGTTAGTGTTACATATTTCGTATAACCAATATAACCCCAACGATCGTGAGTTGTGTACGTGTTACATATCTCGTATAACCAATATAACTCCAACGATCGTGAGTTGTGTAAGTGTTACATATCTCGTATAACCAATATAACCCCAAAGATCGTGAGTTGTGTAAGTGTTTTAGCACGGTATATCAAATGAAATTTCAGCTTAAAGGTTTTACTCCAGTCATATCTCTCGTTTTTAACATGTCAGATTGATGATTGATCAAGGAAATTAGCTTAAATCATCATCTCCTGGAAGTGACGTATCTCAAATGGCACGTTGTGAAAAGGCCATTCACGCCTGTGAAGCATAAATTTGAAAAATAATGACACACTGAATGTATCAAAAGACTGAATAGATATCATGTATTGATCATTATGAAAGGTCGATCATGTTATTGCTATTGCTTCTGTCAGTTGTAAAATAACGAATACATTGTAACTCGTTAAATATTTACTTGAATTCGAAATTAAACATCTATTGCTCTAGGTTCTTCCTACGTTGGGGATTGACTTGAAAACACGTTGTATAATATGATCACCGCCTGATGATGGTTGTCAAGTGTAATGGTATTTTGCTCGAGTGTATCGTCCTAATTCTTGGGATGTAATATGTGGAACAAAAACCTCGATGTTGACATTTAAGGTTTGCAACATGTATTTCCAGTTATGTTTTAGGAAAATCGGA